TTCTCTAGCCGTGAACCTGTGATTCATGTTGGTTATGTTGGTAGTTGTTCTCCTTTATTGACTGTGTTTGGTTGTAGCTTCCACAGGTTTATGGAGGAAGTTCTTCTCTTTTCCAGGAGAGGAGAGAGTTGTTTGCCTATGGTTCTTCACACAGATGTGAGATGGTTCTTCAGTGAGGTTTCAGCCTTCTGAAGAGAGAATTCTCCTCTGTTTTTAGGCAGAGGGAAAGAAGTTTTTTGGGCTTCCAGAATTGTCTTGTTTGCAGTTTTGCTCCATTCCTCTTGTTTGCCGAGTCTTGCTATTCTTCATGGCGGTGGAAAGAAGTTCCGACGAGCTCCTCTGGTAGGGGGCGTCTTTTACCCAGCCTGAGTCGATGGACCTTTCTTTTTTGTTGATTGAAAAGGTTGGTGAACAGAGGGGTTTTTGAAAATATTTCCAAAACTGGTAAAAAACTGTTGGATTTAGTTGACTTTTGGTCTTCATGTTCTGATTATATGTTTGAACTTGAAGTATACAGAATGTTTATTATCAAATAGAGAAAACTTATTTCATCACAACACCTCAAACGAGAAACATTTGTTGTTGACCTTATAGTTAAAGCTGATTAGGGACACCGGACATGGCATCGTCATAATCTAATAGTTAATTAATTACTAACAAAAAGAATTGTATTAGTTAAGGACCTTTTGGGAAAGTCATGACTACACATAGACATAATTAGATTTCTACCCACTTGTGACTTTTTATTTTGTCATGTTTTTGTCAGACCCCTCTATGTGTAATTTGAAAAGGTAAAAGTCAGTTCAATTAGTATTGTGGACCTACTAGGTGTTTCAATCTAAGTCATCTTTACCTAAAAGTCACAATATATGCAGTCACAGACTCACAGCTAAGGTTATGTACTACTGTTGATTTTCTACATTATTTTTTTTTTTTTGCTAAATACTGTTGATTTTCTACATAACTACTAACGTGTATCCATATGATTTTAAATCCATTTTTAGGGTTAAAATCATATGATTCAAACCTTGTCATGTGGATATTATATTCAAATATTCACGTAAACTTCTTTTTTTTTTGGGTCAAAAATATTCATGTGAAATTTAGTTTGCAAATATCTTAATAAAACAAGAAAATATCAAATCTCTACCTAACAATGTGATATACTAGATTTTTTTTTTTTTGAGAAAAATATATACTAGATTATTGCTTCATTCTTCTCGTGCATCTTATCAGCTTCCTAAGTTTTCTTCGGTTTAGCTATTTAGCAATTTTTTTGTTAGTCAAGATTTTAATAGTTAAACTGTTTCGGTGCAAGTATTCTGAACATATTAGGTATTTCATCAGGGTCGTCGTACATATGGAATAAATTTAGAAACATTCGTCCACGGCTTATCTTTAAAATAGAAAGAAATCAAGAAATTTTAATTGTAATTTGGGACCATTTTTACTAATGTACTATGGAAAATGTCCTTTGTCTTCACGTATGTTATGTCATGTGATGTGACACGAGCTACAAAAACTTAAAATGATTGTATCAAAAATCACTATCCAATTTAATTCCGTTATTGTTTTTGTAAAGAAAATTGTTCTTTTTTATTTTTTTAGAAAGATGTTCTTTGTTACACAAATACTGGTCTATAATGGTTTTGAAATCTCCATGTTAGCCGTCATTGATCGAGTGATTCACCTACTACAGTTTTGTGTTATAGTCAATATATAGATATTTAAAAAAAAAAAAATTAAGAAAACATGATTTTTATAGAACTCGGGATTAGTTTGAACTCTAATTTCGAATTTACCTATAAAGAACACGTATAAAATATAATTGGTAAAGTTAAAAGCCTTTCCCCTAATTACAATTTAATGGCGATAAGAAAGATGGATGATGATTTGATACAGTGACCTTCAAGTGTGTCTAATTAGTGCGTATTAATTATACGTATATACCAAAATACACTTTTTAAATTCTTTTTTCACACTTTTTTAACTCATGTAGCTGAATGTTAAACCGTGTAATCAATTTAGATACTCAATTTTTTCACCAAAAAAAAAAAATTTAAATACTCAATTCAATAAAATTCTATTAGTATATATTTCTCTTTATACTAGGAGGAGCTGAAAATAATTTGCAAGCCTCTCTTCTGTTATCACAGACAGAGCCCAATAAGTCAAATTGGGCCTACATTACTTGACCTTAAGTATTATCCATTTATAACATTAAAATCTCAGCCCCCTCACCAATTTTCTCAAATCTTGAATCATACTTCACTGAAATTCTCAAAAAGGCCCACGCTAAACCACATTTACACATTTCTCCTTTTCACTTTAAAATGTTTGCATTTGTTACATCTTACGGCCTCAAAACGTGTTTTAAAACCCAAACCGAAATCGAATAAATAGTCTTATTTGTGTAAATTTTCTCTTGAAATGAACTAGACCCAACTTTCGATCAAAAAAAAAAAAAACTAGACCCAACCGAACTCGATTTTAAACCGAAATGTTATTCTCTAGTGAGAATGAAGATCATCTATAGTATAATCTTTCTTTTTTCTTTTTGAGATTTGAGG